TCTAGTACGTGGACACCATGCAAGGAGAGTATTTTGATTCTTCACTATTTTCTTTTTATTTTCTTGGGCATAATGTACTAATAAATAGTGAAGACAATGTTCATAATAAGTTTAGGGATACTTGGTCTTTAGAGTTTAAATTGCCATTTTTTAAAATTTATCTTTTCTCTTTTTATACACTAAAAGGCTAACCTTCTCACCATAAGTAGTCAATGAAGCATGGGGATATTGAGATTTTATCCTAACTAATATTGTGGTTACTTTGAAAAAAAAAAAGATATTTACAAATACTAATTAGAATAATTAAGGATTATTTCTCTTAGCTTAATAGGTATAAGAATAATTGTATAGGAACCTAATCTAAGGCATTACACTTGTGTCATAAAAAATGTAAGTTTTATTTTTACCTTTTAACTAATCATAAACTAAGGTTTAAGTGAATAAGACAAGTTAAATAATATGTGATGGGTGAGATAGAGCGTAAAATGCACTCACTCGATAAATAATAATAATAATAATGATAATAAGTACTTTAAGTGAAAATGTGAAATGGAGCATAAAACAAAGAAAGAAATTGTAAGAAAAAATAGTAAATAGTGCTAAGTTTACTATCTTGGTTGAAATAGTAAAGAGGTAAAGTTAAACAAAACATAATTTATTAATCAAGATTAGAGACTTAGAGAGGGAACTTATGTCTTGAAACTATACAAATTTTGTTGAGGGGTATAAGAGCTAATAATCTATTTATTTTCTTCAACATTTCTTTTGAATTTTCAACTGAATAATAATTGCAAGAAAGGAATAGAATTCAATACTATCAACCTGAACAGATGAAAGTGGTAGAAAAGTGTGCTCTTAAGTATTTCTTTTTTCAGTCTTTTGCTTGAGACAAACAAAAAATTAAGTTTGTGTATTCGATGTACTACATTTTAATCATATTTTTACTACTCTTTTTACTTAAATTTAAAAGAATTTTTGAATAATGTTGAATGAAAAATGAATTAATTAGTAAAATTTTGATTCATGTGATATTGAAGAAGAAAAGAAAAAGAAAGCCAACAGACCCATGAAGTCCATCCTAGATATTCAACTAAACTCGACCCTGTAAAACTCAAAACGACATTATTTTGGATCTAGGAACTACCACCAAAATGGTGCCATTTTTTAAAAAATCTGAAATAGAAACAAATTGGCTAGAAGGGAAAAAAAGAGGCTAGGGAGGAAAGAAATGAGGGTGCATAAGAAAACCCTCTCTTCCAGCTGCCAACAAAAAGGGAGACAATAGGAAAAAAAATCATATATCTAGATAAAGAGGGGAAGGAGCGAACAACTGAAGCAGAAAAAGAGAAAACTTGTAGAGAAAGAGAGTTAAAGTAGATCTAATTGCAAAGAAAGAAAGCAGACAAGAACAGGTGGAATTCTAAAGCAAATAAGCAAAAATGCATAAGCTGAGTGGAAAAACAGGGAGTTTAGTGGTGAGAGAAATTGACAAAAATAATAAGTAATATTTATTTAAATTTTCACTTAGCATATTGTTGGTTAGAAATTTTCAAAAAAAAAAATTATGATAAAACTCAAATGCTAATGTTTGAAAATTTTTATAAATTTATTTTATATTATTACATTATTATATTTCTTTCAAATAAAATTATTGTTACTTAATCCACCATGTTAAGCTAAATTTTCTTCGTCAAAGTAATTGATGTAGTCTAAATCAAACATATATTTAAGACTTAATTTTTAGTTTTCTTCTATTTTTAATTTAGCAATACAAAACTTAATTCAGTTGTGAGAATTGACCAACTCATACCTTTATTTGCAATCGATAATTTTAGAGTAACGAGAGTCATATTCCATTAATGAAACATATACTATTAAGCATTTATAGAAACTTGAATGAGAGTAATATAGTCGAATTAATATAGATTAATCGAATCATCACATATTTAATTGAATCAAATTAATAATTGTTATAAAAGGTTAGCGATTGTTAATTAATAAATCTAGGAACTACTGATAAAGAAACCGAAAGTATATTTAGATAGTTCGACCATTGCAGACTAGATTAAATTAATTGCAAAACTAATACTCGAATATACCCAAGATTAAGGTAAAATCAATTACTCTAGTGTGTTTCTATTGATAAGTTTTCATCAATTTAATTATTTTGCTTTGATTAAATTATTTTAAAATTTTTTCCTTCATAAATTTAATTTTAATTTCTATATAATAATAGAATTTCTACAACTTTAGTACTTAGTACGTAATCTGTGTGGGACAATACTTTATTTATCACTTTATCATTTGAACAATTTCGTGCACTTGCAAATTCGCACATCAATGGACCTTCATCTTCTTTTCTTTAAGTCCTTTGGGTTGCTCCACTAGATCTTTATGGGCTTCTTCTTGGGCCATGCTCATGGGTTGGGCTTCGGGAGGGCCCAACCCACTTGATTGCAAGCCCAAAAATCACAGCCTTGGGCTTGGGCATGAATGGCATGGGTCTTCTTTGCGGGTTCCCACAAGTCCGTGGGTTTGCGACCAAGTGACTTGTGGGTTGGCTGCTTCCCGCAGGATTTCCACCTGTCCTAGGACTCCTCTTCTGACTGGGAATCGTAGCTATCCAATATTATGTCAAAGGTGATATAGGGACTTAGCCTTAGGTTTTAGTCACAATTCACAATTCAATAAAATTAAGCTTTTACTTTCTTTAAGATTAGCTTAGCTAACTTTTGTGAGTGTTCTTCAATTCAAGTTAGGGAGCTTTTAAAAGTCTTATTGAGTCAAGAAATCTGGATTGATTTATCGGATAAGTCGTGGCATCCTTCTTTTTTTTTACTAATTTCTCAATTATCTTGATTATTGCATTCCATATTAGTGGATGAAATTATCGAGTAAGAAGGATAAATTAAATGGTTAAGATCTTCTGATCATATGTGGTGTGAGGTTTTGGGAATATTACGATCCTTCCAAGTCCCTCCTGCGTCACTATTTTGCAGAAATTTGCTTTGTTATATCTTCTAGATTTTAACTCAATATTATAGCATTTCACAAAGACCACATAGATTGAACATCCAAGGCCTCCTTACAACTATTTAAGTTCTCTCTTTTCCACTTAATGTAGTTTTCTTTTTTTTTATTCATTATATATTCGTGCTTCTTAGTCATAAAAAAAATATATATTCTATAGATACCATTGAATGTCGTAGTATGAAAATTTTTCATTCTAATTGTTCAACTTTTAAAGATAAACATGGTTAGTAGGGTGCCAAAGGTCTCTCTAACATAAAACCTCCAACCGTCAAAGTTACTAATGGTAGTGATAAAGGAAATAATAGCACAATAATATCTGAGAAAGTTTAACTAGAAAAAGGTTCTATTTATCTTTAAATGGTGCAGTATTTATAAATGTTTGACCATATGGATGCATGATGTTATTGAAACAATTTTCATTAATTAAGTGACTACTTGTCTGTTAATAAAATACCTAAAGAAGGTTAGAGCTTTTGTATGACTGAGATACCTTTTTGATCATTTGCTTAAAAAAATTTTGTTCTGTGATTACTTGTAGGATCATTCCTTCTAGGTACATGGGACTTCTAAGGTTTAATTTGATTTAAACTAAATTCCAACCTAATTATGACAACCTTTTGTACAAGTTGGTGTTTGCATTGCAATAAAAAAAAAAAAAAGATAAAGAAAGCTCACCGAAAAGTCTAATAAACTATAACACTCTGGGTCCAAGCACCAGTAACCCAACAACTTTCGAGCTCAAACAACTTACTCTTAAAAGCTTAAGCTCAGGTTGTGTTAGTTTATGATTTGAGCCCTTACATAGAGCTCAATAACCATATATCTTTCTAATGTCGAATTGGAATATCACAATTTTCACCACTCAAATTCTTAATATTCTTATCAAGATCACATATTACACAATTACAAATTACAATTCAAATGTCTACAATGTCAATCAATAAATTTGTATGTGCCTTGATTTGTGGTATTCCTTCGAACTCAAGTATTATTAACCAAATAATTTTTCAAATCCAATCCACTGATACTCAAAAGTTTAAGCTCAAAATATAAGAGGTAATCTCTTACATGAAGCTCAAAACCATATATCTATCCAATGGGGAACTAGAGTATCATATAAACCATCTAGATGAAGGTGGTAACCTCTACCTTAGACCTAAAAACAATGTAGCAGAACATGTAATGCTTGGGAAAATAAAAGCTAGTGATTCTGCATTTTAATATCTTTTCAAAAAAAATCATTATATAAATTTTTCTTGAATGATTCTATTAGCAGCCCAATTTGCTAACTTTGTGTAGAAATGTCCTTTCCTAATTTATTTGAGTAGTGAATTAACAAGAGTTAATTCAAATACAATTTTTGTTTATCAAAAGAAGTACCTACCTCATTGAGTATATAGTCTCTTTTAATCTTCTTTCATAAACCCTGGTTAAGCAAAAGGGCAAAAAGAAGTAATGGCATACCATGAAATGTCTTTTTGGCTTGGCAAATCCATCATATAATCCAGATCAATAGGCTGATAAATTTGAACGGCGATAAACATGTTGTCTGGGAGCAACTAGGAGCAAAAATATGCTACCAACAGCGTTATTTAATAATTTAAAAGGTTTAAATAAAAATTAGGAGTACTATCTAAAAAGTCCATGTATTTTACTAAACATATCAAACTCTTGGATGTCAATCAAATTGAATAAAATATAATTATGTATTTTTAATGTGTACCCATTTGCGCTTCAAACCAAAAAATTTGTTAACTTGAACAAATTTTTTTGTTCAAGGTAAAATAATATTTTCAATAATGAAATTTTAATAGGTTTTACCTTTACTATATGGTAAAATAAAAGCTTATATTTAATTCAATTAAATTATCAGACATTAATTTGATATATTTTGTAAAGACATGGGGTTGTTTAGATAATACCTCAGAAAAATTTAGTTCCAGTCTGTTTTCTTGCAGCACAATCCATCAATAATGTAGTATATTATTCTGAGGTAGGGGAAACCCTGAAGAGAAATTCTCAAATGGTAATGTCAAATGGCAAAATGGTCAGTCGACTTTTGAGAATCTTCAGAAAAAACACATGCCTCCTTGCTTTTCCGCATCTCACCTCTAGAGAGCAAATCATATAAAGGTTTCACCATCTTTTTATAAGCTCTGTTGAGAAGAGGAGCAACCTGTGATATTTACACAAGAATAGAAAAAGAAAAGTTCCCTGAGTTTTATGTTTTAATAGTGACATTGTGTGGAAGCTTCAATAGTTTCTTCAAATGTAGTTTCACTTATTTGCTCTAACATCTCCAGTGAACCGTGTGGACTTCCGAAAAGAGTAGAGAATATTTGTCTATGGCACTCATCACAGAAGCAGTAGTAAGAATAATGACCTTCATTAGGGCGCTTATGTATGATTGCCCCCGGTAGAACCCTACTTATGTAGTCACTCATTGAGGGAGGAACAACTTGATCTTCCATTCCCTGTTCAGTGTCAATAAATAAGATGCAGGAAAATCTTACACTATCATAAGCATGGTAACTCAAATGTTTATGAGAATGGACTCAAATTGGGAAGCCAACTTGCGAGAACTATAATCATGAACAAATAATGCTTTATAAGATTAATGAAAGAATGAAATTACACTTGAATGCATGAGAACTTTCTTTTTTTTTGGATGGGGCGGGGGGGGGGGGTGAGAGGTGAGTCCAGAGATAACCTCAGCCACTTGCTTGGTGAGGCATCTTAGCACTAGTAGTTTAAATTACTTTTAACATGTTATCGAGCCTTCAGAATATTTATAAATATTTAGCATCTTAGCACTAGTAGTTTAAAGTGAACAAAAGTGAAAAGTACACAAATACTCCAAAAGGTTCATGTTAATAACCTCAAGTTCTAAATATTTCCAAAAGCAGGATACCATGTTCCTGATCTTTCTCATTGCGGATGGAAATGTGTTATTCACATGATAATTGCAAGTTGTAACTTCTATTTATATTTGTGAATACTACAATCAAGAGATGATATAAACACACCTGCCATATGTGTATCGGGCCCAGAAATCCAGCCAATTCACATTCTGGCTGAGTGTACATGGATCTGAGCCAAGGAAGAAGACCTTTTCTTTGACACTTCTGCTGTGGCTGAAGGTCTGCCAGGTTAAAACCCCAGGATGACACCTGCAGCACAGCTTCTTCAATGAATGGTTTCATGTTCCCCTGGCGGATTGATTCCTCAACATCCCTATGCCAAAACTCTTCAAACACTGGCTCTTCAACAAGAATTTCATCCTGAATACATCAAAATTATAATGCAAAAATCATAATGTCATGTAGAAAGCTACTTTAACTGTGACAAGAATTCATGACATTTATCCAGTTAGAATGATTGCTAAATATGTTAAATAATTGATTAAGTGGTCAATTATCTAAAAGTTCAAGAAAGGGAAAGCTTCCAATTTCTATTTATACTGAACATCCCCTATGCACGAACTTGTTAGGCTGAAAGTGGGGTCAGGCACAAACTTGCCCTAACTTGTGCTGAAATTAATTAACAAAACTGAAGTAGTACTCGGCTTCTTGCTCTTATACTGTATTAGATAATAAGTTGAGTTTATCAACATTTTTAAAACTTATTATGATAATCTATTATCAATATTAACAATTATACCTTTATCTTGTTAAATTTTTTCTTGAAAATGAATTAATGCATAATTAAAGTACCACTTTTCGCAGCAGGCATTGCCTGTTAAATTCTCACAGTGGGAAAACATCTATAATGCAGAGAAATAACTGATATTCCTTTCAGATACCAAAAATTTTCCAGATATTTAAGGTAATGCTCACTTTTACTTAACTGACAAATACTAAATCTTGAAATCACATGTTGCTAGACAAACAGAAGCAACATAGAAAATCTTATCTTTCCCGAAAAAAAAAGAATAAAAGAAAATCAGCAGCCAAGACTACATCTGGCTATGTGCATGATACATGAGATAAAAACTTTAAAACTATGGGATAAGTTTCTCTTAGCATTTCGTTAGACATAACAACCACCAGGAATTTAATTTGTTTCAGGTGATTTAACCCCAGACCACTTTAAAGATTATACCTCTTAACTGCTATGACATGATAGATCTACAGGCTCATGGTCTTTGAGACTCAAGTTTTAGGTAAGCTCACCTTTTTACTGAGTGACACAGGAAACCACTCATCAAGTCTACCATGCTTTCCAGAGAGAAAGCTTTGCTGATAGAAAAAATTCAGCAATTTTGGGAATCTTCGAGCTAAGAAGTACATCAATTTTCTTCTGGGTAACCATCCTTCCCAAGTTCTTCTAGTTTCTTCTTTAGTCATGCTGGGATCATATGGATTAAGCATTGGGGCAAACAGAGCAGCACCTGCAGGGTTCAACATATAAAAGAGTCATGTTTGATCACATGCATGAGTAGTTCAAATGATCTTCACAGATTTAAAATGAGAAGGAGCTCATGATGATCATATACCACAAATACCTCTATAGATGTTAACAAGGAAACTATACTTTCAAGATCATTCTCTCCATTTTGCAAACAATTGCTACAATTACAAAGAGAAATATGACACTCGAAAGTTCATCAGCATAACTTCTTAACCAAATCATGGATATATGTGTACTTCAAAAGTTCAGTGATCAATCCACAAGTCTTACAAAACCTTTGTTTGTGAACTGAAAAAATAGGGCTTTTTTGTGAGATTCAGAACTCAATTATCAAACAACATTTTCCTTCACGACATAAAGATATAACTTGAAAAGAACATATTGATGGAGCAAAAAGATTTCGTAGAAAACACAAAGATAAGCTTATAGCATAAAAAAGTTGATGTACCTGCAATCCTGCTAGCAATGTATCTGAGTGCAGCCCAAACATGCATGCTGCCACTTGAGTACCCCAGCACCCAGAATTGGCCATTAATTTGAATGGCATCAGCTAGGTAAAGCATATCCAAGGCTGATGAACTGAGATTTCGAGAAGGATGAGGGTCACTCTCTCCGAACCCAGGAAGATCATAAGTCACTAAACGAACACCAAACTCTTCAAGAAGTGAGATTTTAACTCCTGGTATACCTTTCAAAAAGCGAAGTTCTTAAAATTAGTTACTTGTGAACCAAATCCAACTAAAGGCATGCATTAAAATGATCAAATACTACTTCCTCTAAGAATTGAAGCTTATCAATCATTCTGTACCTGCAAGTCTGGAAGAAAGAAAAGAATGTGGAGCAATTAGAGAAAATCTAGCTTTGGTTGCCGGTACTCCTAACTCCTGATAAGCCAATTTTCTACCATCTGGGAGAAGCACGTGACTTGCACTGGGAGGATGTATTCTTATTTTCTTTACTGGGTGGATGGAGCTATCATTTTTGGTGTTTAGACCCAGTACTGCATGTTGTTTAAGAATATCAACAAAGTGATAGTCTTATCTTATACAGAGAAAGAATTAGCTGCAGAGCTATTCTGAACCCAAAAAAAAAGTAAATAATAAACCAATGGAAACTACAGCAGCACTTGAAGGATGTGTTTTCAAAGTACAAGTCAAGAATTACAGATATCTCGGGCTTCTACCCATTCATGTTTAGTGATCGACATCATCTAAATATAATTGATGCAATTGAAACCATAGGCTATAGTTACCATTTTTTTGACTATTTTACACAAGAATTCATTTTGCTTTTCGGATGTTAAGAATTCACCAGCACATAAGAACTAGGTCAATATATCCTATAAAAGGTAATTCAAGGATAGTAGAGAGTATCCAAGGTAATCCAAGAATTCACCATTTTTTTTACTATTCATTAGGGCATGAAAGGTAATCCAAGTTAAACCTTTTATTCATGGTTTAATTTACTTAACAAGGTCGATCAACTGGCAGATAGTAGACAATAGCTACATTTTTCAATGCATTTTCAGATATAGCTAAAATAAACTAGCCCCGGCTTAATTAGTCAGCTCAGCGGTTACAATCATATGGAGATTAGCTGATGTTACACGATCACCAATACATGCCATTTTCATACATACACAGATCTCAAGAAACGACCAACATCTAGAAAGAATGGCGATGAATATTAGCAGCTTCGAAACAACTATTACTACTTACACTTACCTGCAAGAGCGAGGATAACAACAAAGAAAATCACAGGCCATGCGTGAACCGGATCGCGATCTTCCGGCAAGAACTCGTTCAAAAATTTCAACCTATCCGATATTTTAGCCACTGGTTTACTGAGCTTTTGCACTATAAAAGAGTCCTCGGTGACTATACTCTGTTGTACTATGTCTTTGCACCCTCTCCCTAAATCTAGAAGCATCTCACCCCACGATTTCAAGAATCCGGTTACCTGCTCCTTGAAGCTCTCCAATTCTAATTCCCCGCTAGCCACCTCTCCCGACACGAAATCCGATCCCTTCGCGTCGAGAGTCGGCTCCGATATCCCAATTGATTCCCCTGAAAATCGTATCCCAGTGTCCTCCACTAGACTCGCCAGCTCATCCCGCCACGTTCTGGATCCTCTCACTTCCTTCATGTTCATCATTACAATTTCATCATCATCAACCGCACTGAGTCCTCAATTTAAACTACATACAGAAATGGATAAGTAGAGAGGGAACTACTTTACTTTGGGAAAAATGCAGGCCCATGATATAAAACAGAACTGAAATATAAACTTTTCAGGCGTCATATTCAAGCTCTATATTTTATTTATATTTTTATTTGGAATTAATTGATTTCAGAACAAAAAGAACCGACCATTGTTAAAACGAATAAAATCTTCCTTTCTTTAAAAAATACAGAGAGAAAAGCAAAGTCTGGGATCTATCTTTCACTTTCCGACACATACCATATGACACAGAAACCACTGGCTATGACTACAATCTGATCCAATGCTTAATAAAATATTACATCTGTTACTTATACATATATAATATTACATACATATATATATATATGTATGCAAACCTTTTTTATGAATAGACTGGTTAACTACTCAGACTCAGTCATCATTATTCTTTCTCGTAAGCATTTTTGGCATTTCACTGGTTGGAGCGAGACTTGAAGATGAACATGGAGCGTTGATGAGGGTTCCTTCTAGGTTGTTTTGAAGGGGTTTTAAAGCGCTAGGATCTGGTCCACGTTGCCAACTGCTAATGCCGTGCAAGTAACGGCTGGTGACCTGCTAGGCCGGTGCGTGTCTGACGATTGTGTGCGTGGCGTGCGACCTGCTATTACCGGTTACAGTGTACGGCGCTGACGCATGAGGTAAGTGAATACTGAACATTGATGCGGGGTGAGTGGGTGGGTGCATGTGAAGCGGGGAATGTCTCTCTGGCTGGTTTAACTTTTATGAGGTATGATCATGTATAGCAATTGAGTTCATCTGTCTTGGATCACAACCGTTGATATTCACAAAACAGATTTTTGGTTCTAAACCTACGGTGGAAAAGCCATGTAGACGTATGTATGTGTATGAGTGAGATATAGGTTGGTAATTTAACTATGATATGTGCCGTTGTAAATCATACGATTGAATTAAATAAACTAGTTAGGATTTTTATTCAGATCAGATGTGACGTTAATTAATACCTAGTATTTTGGTAATTTAACGGAAGGCTAGTTGTTTTCCCAGCTAATGTAAATTAAAGCAGCATAAATATATTTTACAAGTTCTCAAAAAGAAAATGTATTTTATATATAATATATACTGTTGTATTATATATTTATGGGGATTATATCTAACGGATGTATATATTGTGATATATAATATATATACACAAAGATATAAATAATATATGTTATATATATAATAGTATATCTAACATATTTATATGTATATATACATAAATATATGGATGGATATAACATACATATGAAGAAGAGAAATTTAATTTGAGTAAAGCGAAGGATGGCAGCGAGATGACGGCGAGAGGACAATGAGGCGAGCAGAGGTGAGACAGCAGCCAGAGGAGCAACAGGTATATTAGTTAACACACACACATACACACATATAGTTACAATATGCAACAGCTATATTATTAACTTCATATTGATTATGTGGCTCCCTTCCCAAAATGATAGTGGCTCTACTCTTATAAAGTCCTTTAGGGCCATGGAAAAAAAAATCTTAACATATATATATATACACACACATATTTAATAGTTTTATTGACATATTTAACTTTGATTTTCATGAATGACAAACATAAACGGATGCAAACAAGTATTTAAGTTTTTAGTTGAAGAAAATTGTAGCAATCTTCAAGTATGAAGATTTGAATAGAAGTTTCATGATGTATAAATTAGGAAAAAAAATTTACTTCTCTCAAATAGGTGATATTGATTTCTAAATTGTTGAAGTAAAATCATTTTAATATTTCTATAGTTAAATAATTTGGATTGATTTTTAGAATTATTGAAAAAATAATTTTATGAAAGAATATGTTGTGGAACCATTGTAATACCTGATATGCTCTAATCTGCAAGAAAAATGAAGAACATACCCAAAAAAATCAATAGAGATTGAAAGAACGAAAGATGAGATTACAACTTTGAGAGAAAAAATCATGATAAGGTTTTTGTGTTTGCATTCCAAATAGTTTGAAGAAGAGAAAAAAAAATGTATTTATACCTCCAATAAATGAGGTGAACTTGCGCCTTTATACAACTTACCAATTTTCCTTTTAACCTAATACACATACACATAAACATATGCACACTCTTAAGAAACACATACCATAAACGGGGCAACGCAGCCCAGCTTCTCTACCCATGGGCTCGCATAACCTAAATCTTTTAACATTCCCTCTAAATATGAAGACTGGATATTTTTTGCTCTCATCTTGGTTATTTGTTGGTTGAGAAGAGGGCTTGAGAGTGTTTTAGTGAAAATGTCTACAACTTGTTTGTTACTCATATATCTGGTAACACCACTCCCATCTATAGGATGTGTTTTTATACAACTAAGACCAACAAAGGGTCATCAAATAGATATACACAAAAGTCACTTAATTACAAAAATATTTTTCATTAGAGAACGGACAAAATAAGCACTTGTAAATACTCTAGGGACTCAAGGAAGGATTGAGGTAGGCTTCAAGGGGAAACACTATGTGTGACTCATCACTATCATTATCTGGGAGGTCCTAACATGGAAAGGGTGAGTTCCATTAAACTCAATAAGGGAAACAATATTTAAACAATACCATTAAGATTTAAAGAGTTAATAGTCTTAAACTGAACATTCTTACCCAAAAAATAACATACCTTGGAGATCCGTCGTGGAGTGAGATAGACTTAAATATGTAAAAAATATTCATTCTTTAAGAAAAATCTTTTAAACATATCAAATAGAGCAATAATCCACAGAGATAGAAAAAATTATGTTCTCAGTTAAAAACTAACTTAAACAACAATGCAAATCAACGAAAAAATACAACATAAAAAATAAATGCATGTTTACGTCTTTCACAATTTTTCGTGCAAAATCGTTCCAACATATATATACTCAGGGTGGAGGAGATTCCCAACTTCCACTGTGAATGACGTCATTTCATTTTATATCAGTACGTTACGGTATGCCAAGCCTCAACACCTTATGGTGTGGCATACCATTATATGAGTAGGATCTATGACCAAGATCCTACATCGCCACTGTGGCCCCTATCTACGATTCTGCGAATTCATTCTCGTCAAAGAGAACACTTATCATTCACAGGGAGTGGTTCACCAACAAATTCAAATTCAGAGACATAAGTAAAATAGAAACAGAAACAGAAAATCCCTCAGAGATAACAGCTTAACAAATTTTTAATCCTTTTCCTTTTCTTACTTCATATCAACCTACAATCCACATATACTGAACCCATGGGTTCCTTCTACTTACCTCGACACAAGGCCCATTACAACACAATTCAGAAGCATACATAATAGATCAGTATAACGCAATACGATAGTACATCAATCATATTTGGTGTCACATGCTTTCACAGTTAAGTAAAATAGCATGCAATATCATGCATCATAACTATTCAGTTAATTAATCTAAAAGGAGCAGTTAGAGGTGCCAGCAGAAATACAAGATCCCTTACTGATATTTGGTGAGTAATCGAGCTTCTAGAAGTGGGTTAGAAGTGTGTTTTGCATCTAGAAGTCCCTCGGTGACTCCTACAGGCTTCTTCCTTATTTTCTCTCTCTAGTACTCCACCTTTTCTCTATAGATTTTCATTTTCTCTCCCTAGATTTTTATTTTCTCTCTCTAAAAAATGGACATAGGAAGAAGAGGAAATGGAAGTGGATGAAAACGAGGGAGAAGGGTCCAAATTTATAGAACTTAAGGGTCGTTGGATGTATGCCACATGGCACAAATTCGACCATCCACGTGGCAACAAGGAGGGGCTGTTAACGGGGGGACCTACACGGCAAGGGAGGCCATGCCCTGCCGACGTACAGGGCATGGATGCGCATTGCAAGCACAGCATGTGCGCAGGCGCCGATGTACACGCCTACGCGCATAGTGCCTAAGCGCACAGGGCATGGGCGCACAATGCGAGCATGGTGTGCATGCAGGCGCTAGCGTGCATGCCTACATGCAAGCATGCACAACGCCATGTGTGTGCGCTTCTGCGTGTGCACGGGCATGCCTGGCTTACAACCGCAAGAGTTTTCCAGCGCGTTTGAGGATTTTTGCCCCATCCGAGGAGTTTTCTCCCATCTTCTATTTTCTAATTTTTCACTATTTTTCTTTCTTTCCTTCTTAAAAGTACTTCAAAAATACTATGTACGTATATTTAAAAATTTCTAAATCAGGGATTATGAAAAACAAGCTTTTATAAAAACTTACCTAAAAAATATTAAATAAAAACTTAAATGGCCTTTATGCCCAAGTAGAGTTTTCAACATCATGTTTAAGTGCAGAGACCTTAGGGTATTACAAAAGTACCAAGGAAGACATAGTATCTTGTAACTGACCTCTTTATGTTTTGTCATATTCTCCAATCACTATCACTCCATGCACTTAGTTTTAATTTCGATGAACTTTAATAAAATAGACCGCGTTTCAAAAGTCCATTTGACATAGTTTAAGACCTTATAGGCTGTAGTTAGACATTGAGTTTTCGGATTCTTCATATATTGGCTTCAAAATTTTACAGAGTAGGCTATATCCAACCTTGTAAAAGTCAAATACATGAGCCTTTTGAGTCTTCTATACATGGTTAGATCAGGAATAGATTAACTATGATCCTTTGATAATTTGATATTCTGATCCAATTGTAATTTTGAGCTTTTGCTTCCCAAGCTACCAGAGTCTTTTAGCAAGTCAGAAAGATATTTACATTGAAAAATGTGAATTTGTTTACTTGACTTAGCTACTTCGATATCAAGAAAATACTTTAGGTTCTCCAAATCCTTGATTTTAAACTTTATGTTCATTGCTGCTTTTGGATCATCAATCAGGCTAATATTATTCTCTATCACAATTATATCATTCACCTATATCAATATTGTAGTGAAATGTTTTACATAGTTTTGCACAAAAGACTATAATCTTCCTTTACTTGTGTAAATCATTATTTAACAATGAAATCAGAAATTTTTCATACCATTTTTGTGATGCTTGTTTGAGAGCCTATAAGCTCTTGAGTAGTTTGCACACTTTTGGTTTCCCTATAATCGGATATCTGGGCGACAGTTCCATATAGACTTCTTGATTTAAATTCTTGTGTAGGAAGGTATTATTGACATCAAATTTACAAAAATGTCATCCCTTAATAGCGCCAAAGATAGTAATTGTCCCATCTGGTAAAAATCTTTTGTGTTATCCTTCCTTTTGAGTGAACATTTTGGCATGTATCTTTTAATTGTCCCATATATATTAAACTATATTTTATATACCCATTTGTACTCAATGGATTTCTTTCCATGTGAAAAATCTGTGATCTTCTATATCTTATTTTTCTCTAAAA